AGAGAGAGAGAGAGAGAGTCAAACCTGAGGAATATGTCTTCGAGTCTTGGCTGAACGCACTTGATGCTTATCTGAGAGAACTTCCTCATAAGCTCTCTCAAGGGTTGGGGGCTTGCTCTTAAAAGCAAGGATTCTTGTTCTATTTTGGAATACAATCTCGGCGAGACGCTTCCTATAAGCCTCTTTTGATGGTGAACCAGGGGTGGTATTCTCTTTCTTTGAATCCATGAGCATATACCGAGCAACGTCAAGGTCCATTGCTCTTCTATCTGGGATGAATCTATCACTCTGTTTTATAGAAAATGAAATTAAGTAAGATATGGATCAAAGAACAAGACAATATGGAATTGGCCTTCATTCACAAAATATTACTCAGAAACTAAAGAAATAAGGGGAATTTTCTTCGGCCCAAGTTCAATATTAATGGAAAAGGGGAAATCAAGTTCTAATTCATGAGAACACAAATTTATGAGAAAACTAACACTATATGGAAGTATGGTTCAATGAAGAGCAACTTGGAATCGACCATGGAAATAGTCAAAAATCAATAAATAGTAAACGTAAGACAAGGAATGTGAAGAGAAAGCTGATGAATTCCATTAAAATCAGAGATCTTAAATAACTACAGAAATAGAATAAAAAAATGAAGGAAAGTTAGTTTGTGATTTATCAAAGATCAAAACAAATGGAGAAATCAATTGTGGAAAATAGCTTCAATATACAATAAATATTACCCACAAAATAATGAAACTCTAACTGAAACGCTTTAATCATGACGATATCCTTTAATAACTGAAAACCTAACTTCCTAATTCCTCTAGATCACATAGCATTCCATAAATAAAAAATCTACAAAAAGGATCGAAGTCGCAAATAAAAAAAGTGGCTTCAAAAGCACATCTGTTTTTGCCTTGAAGGAGGTTTTCGTGGGTGACACGTCTCTTCAAGAACAAGAAAACATGGAATTGGCCTCTGGAAATAGATTGAAATTAGAAAATATTACTCAGAAACTGTAGACAAGAAGTCACAAACAGAAACAAGAAAAGGTCCATATACAAGACAAGGAAGGGACCTATGTCAATAGCAAATAAATCTTGAATAAAAAAGAACAAGAAAACATGGAATTGGCCTCAGGAAATAGATTGATATTACGAAATATTACTCAGAAACTGAAGAAAAGAAGCCACAAACAGAAACAAGAAATCTTGACTCAAGGTAGGGACCTCTATGCCAAGGGAAAATAAATCTTGACTCAACACGAAGGGGCCCTTTACAGCTAATAGCCTAACATAGCAAATAAAACAATCAAGTGGCAAAATCCTCAAATACAGGAATAGAGTCTCCATCATCTCATGTGAGTTGCTAAGGGAAGACTCTAGTGGATAAAAATGAACAACATGGGAAAAGACTAAAGTACCAAATGTTGTTATCAAAGAAAAAGAAATAAATGAAGAGAACAAGAAATATGAAGAGAATTCTGAACTCCATTAAAATCAGATACCTAAATTTACAAATAACTACAGAAATCATAAAGAAGTGTAGATTAGTTTGTGATTTATCAGAGAGCAAAGAAAATGGAGAAATCAATCATGGATAATAGCTATACTATAAAATATCTCGCAATAAATAATGAAACTGGCAAAAAATCAAGATCAAACCCTTTAACAACTGAAATCCTAACTTCCTAATTCCTGGAGAGTTTCATAATGAACAGGCTACCAAGCAAAAATTTCTTACGTATTGTTGCCTTGAAGAAGGTCTTCTTGGAACCATTTGCTCATGAAGAGGGTAACGCCTCTCTTGCTTCATTGAAGCAGACGAAGAGAGAGAACCTGCATCCATGAATTAAAGAAAAAGAGCAAAGAAAAAATCGAAAATAGCTGCAAAACAGAAAAAAGCACAAAAAATATCTACGCGAAAATAACAGAGAATAGCAACAAATTCACAGAACACTTGAGCACTTGGTGATTGATAAAGAAAGCGAGAGAGATTGAGGCTCCTTTTCACAGAGCGAATGGTGATTGTGTGTGTGAGAGAGAGAGAGAGAGAGAGAGAGAGAGATCATAGAAGGTTTTCTGTAAGCTTAGGGTTCCCTTTAGTACGTTTCAGTTCCCTAATGGTCAAAATTAGGGCTCCTTATCTCAAGGACATGGGATGTAGCCGTTGAAAACTAGCCGTTTGGGAAAAGCTAAAGACCGGAAACGTCGACTTAACATTATGTAATGGATGCTTTCTTAGTATAATTAACGTGTACATCCCTCTAAAGTACCGTTATTTCAAATTTCTTTTTCTTTTTTTGTCTAAGTTTCTAATTTGTTCATCACTTTCGAAAATGTTACCCATAGTATTTCGAAGGTCGATGTTTATAAAAGTCCCTCAAGTGTAAACTTTCAAAATCCAAAATTGAACACGTTTGGAATTAATTTTTTTAAAATTTTGATATTCAAAATCCAAAAATATGAAATTAGTTTAATCCTTAATTTTCTATTTTTAAGATCCAAAAAAGTGGGAAAAACATTAATTTTAGATCTTTGGATTTTGAAGATCTATAATTTTAAGAGAAAGTATAGAATGAAATCATTTACCTTTGATACAAGGTGCTCACATTAATCTTTACCATTGGATGTGAAATTAGGTGGCTACAATTATTCTATTGACCAAGCTCAAACTTCAAAATAAATTTTTTTGAATTTCGTGACATATCCAAGCTATCAAATTTCATATCAAATGGTAAGGAATTATGTCCACCTTATATCAAAGGTAAATGGTCTCAATGTATACAATCCTTAATTTAAAAAAGGGTATGGTTTGTATTGAGCCGAGGCTCTAAACAATCAAAGTAAAGTGCACCCTCAAATAGTATCGAGAAATGTGGTCTTAATACTGCAATTTTTTGTGATAGCCTTAAAATATATCTTCATCTTTAATTATAAAATTCAAACCTTTAAAAATAGTGTAGATCGAACAAATCATGAAAACTTGAAAATTGACGGTCCAAAAATACGTTACAAGATATACTATTTCCAAAACTTGACATCTATTTTTTTTCTCATGTCCATACATTTTGATGTCAAGATGATCAATTTGAAAATATTTAGATATCAAAATAACCTCTTTTAGTGAAATTTTTTATGTGGGCTCCAATTTGATTGTTTAGAGCCTCAGCTCTATATAAACTTTTTCTTTTTAAAGGATCGGCAATTTTGAATAGGATTAGTTGTTTTGTTGTAGTAAAAAAGATATTAAAATGTTAAATATAAAAGTATATTAAAATTAAAATATAAAGTTAAAGGACTTGCGTGAATTGCACTTGTTTTTTCAGCAATCGAAGCATATGGCTCAATATGCATGCGAGAATTCCTCGATCAATAAAATCAGTCTGTAGATAGTGTGTGTTTTTTGCAATTTTTTTTATCATTATTGATTTTTAATTATATTTTATTAACTTGCTTTTTTTTTTAATGTTTTTTAATTATCCTAACGTGTGGCTCGGATTATAGAAAAACAGACAGCATAGAGAAGAGATGCATAAAAGAGATCCATGGAATTGGTCAGTAAAGAAAACAACTCTTTCTTTCAGGTTTTATCATTATCTTAATATTATTGATTCAACTCTTTCTTGCTTGCAGTTCTATCATTCTGAAGTTACTATATCAGTCTCGTCACCCAGAGTTTGACTTGTGGTCTAAGAGATGCATTAACGGTACAGAGAGCAGCTTTAAGAAGCTTTTATACAAGATCGAGTTTTCTTTTGTTTTTTTTTTTTCTTTTGCCTTCGAGTAGGTACGAATGTAATAGAAAAGTACAATGTTAATTTTTTCTACTGCCCATTTTATTAATAAAATTAAGATATTTATTGGAAATTCTGCTACATTTTTTTTTCTTCTTCGGTATTTTAAGTGTGAAGAGGCCCTCCCTTATTTTGATGACACGTGTAATATATTTTCTGGCAAGCTTTTTACTTCCCTTACCATATAAAAATTGTATATTTCTTTTTATTTAACTGTCCATTATGATTGGAGGGCTAAGACTGCCTCAATCATAATGTCACGTCTCTACACTATTTTATTTTTAATTTTTTTTTCTACAAACTATTTTAATACTAAATTTTGTATATACAATCCTCTATTAAATTTGCACTAGCGAAAAAATATAAAAAAATATATTTTCAATAAAATAAAATGATCAAAATACCTCTAAAAATTTTAAAGGGTATTTCTATTATTATATTTTACCTAAAAATTATTTTTAATATTTTTTATAGGTGCACCCAATGAGAATATGGCATGTACCAAATTTCATATTCATACAATTTATATAAAAAAAACTAAAAATAAAATACTTTGAGATGTTCGATCTAAAATCAAACATTGAGTGGCTCTCTTGATCAAAATTGAACGGCTGGATGGTAGGAGAAGCATATATCTTATGTGCTGTAAGGGAAGTATATAAATATTCTCCTTATTTTCTTTGCTGGTAGTTACGAATATCTACATGAATTTTTTTTTACATACATTTTTGAGATTTCTCTCTCAATATTTGAAAAGATACAACTCCTTAAAACTCTCTTATCTCTATGTCACGCACCCGTCCCATCACTCTCCTAAATGTTTTTCTTTATCTTCCCTTAAAATCTCTCACTGTCGTTTATTTTTTTTAATCTTTTATGTTTCAAATTTCTCCCTCGTAATTTTAAAAGGGTGCGACTCATAAAAATTCTCCAATTCCTCGCACCCCACTTTCTATGTCCAGTCTCACTCCCACTCTAAAACTATATCTACTACCGCTACTACTACATTATTAATCGAAGGTTTTGGAAAGGTTATTTGTAAAAAAATAGAAACAGATATAGGACTCTAGATGTCAACGAGAGTTGGAGGGGGCTTGTGAAGAAACCGATTTCAATGCACGGGGCTCCGAAGAAAACAAAGCGTTACAAAATAAAAGAACAAAGACGTTGCGTTATAAGGAACAAGAGAGGAAGAAGCCAACCATTTCTTGAATGAAAGAGAAAGCGAGAGATAGTAGAGAGACCATACATTCATTGTAAAAAATAAAATAAAAATAATAGAGAGACTATTGGCATAGGAGAGAGAATACAAAAAAATAGGAATAAAGAGATCAAAGGTTGATAACGAACCTCCAAATGTGCAAGAGGTATTTGATTTTTTTGTTTTTGTGAAACTCTCTTCGTGCCTATGTAAACTTAACGTTTGTTTTTCGAGTTTTTTTGGATCGGAAAATCCAAGTTCTGTAATAGTTATGCTTCCCTTTTTGGCTAAAAAAATATGGGAATTATGTGATTTCTAGGGTTTTTTATGAGGTGTAATTTACATTTTTTGTTTTTTTTTTGGTAGAAAATGAGAATACAAGAGACAAGAGAAAGAGACGTGAGAAGAGCCTGATGGCAAAGACCTCTAAGAAAGAACCTTCAAATCTGCAAGAGGTATTATCTATTTATTTACTTTCTTGTTTTTATAATGTAATTTTTTAATGTTAGAGAACAAAGTCCCTTGAGAAGAACCTTCAAGTCTGCAAGAAGTTGTTTTTTTTATTTTTATAAAAATGTTCGTTTTAGTAATGGAATTTTTGAAACTCTCAAGAGATAGTAGAGAGACTATACATTACTATTACCATAAGATAGACCAATTAGAGCCAAGAATAAAGAGAAGTGAAGAGAACCAGAGAACAAAGGGCCCTAGAAATAACTTTCAAGTTTTTTTTAAAATTTTTATTTTAGTGATGGAATTTTCGAAACTCTAAAAAAAAGATAGTAAAGAGACTATATATATTACTAAATACACGTGAGGAGAGCCACAAAAAAAAGACCCTGAGAAATAACCTTCAACTCTGACATTTTTTTTAAATATAAAATTCTTTTAATGATGACATTTGTTTTTTTGGGTTTTCGTGGGACTGTAAAATACAGGTTACTTTTTTCTTTTCTTTTTTGCTTATAACTGTGGGGAGTATATGATTTCTAGGATTTTTTTTTCTAAAGTATATTGTGCTTCAATAATTTATAGACTTCCTTTGATGGTATTTTTATGTGATTTGTAGGATTTTTTTGTTAAGTGTATTGCATTTGAGTAATTTATAGGCTTTATTTGATGGCAATTTCCGAACTATCTCCATGGCTATGCCCTCTAATCTCACTTTATAAACTCAACATTGTTTTTGTTTTTAGGTTTTTTGGGCATCGAAAAATGCAATTTCTATAATTTTTATATTATCTTTTTTTAGCTTAAAAATAAGAGTATTATTTGACTTCTAGGGTTTTTTTTATGAAGTGCATTGTGTTTCAGTAATTTATATGGTTTTTTTGGGGGTGGAAAATGCAGGTTCTGACTTTTAGGGGCTTTAAATTGTGAAAAACATGCAAATTTATTCAATCTATTCACATAATGTATTGTGATAAGGTCTTTTTTTTATTAGGAAAATAGTTTTTTTCAATTTTGTTAGTGTTTTGATGCCTTTGTTGAAGAATAGTAAGAATATTTTTGCATTATGTTGAATTGATGATGTCTCCTTTTGCTCGAGAAGTAATGCATTGTTTAACATCTAGGGTTTTTACTTTTAATTTATAAATGAGTTTTTTTGGGTAATTAATTTTTAAATGAGTTGCCGTGAATAGTGTGCATTTCTCTCATTTCAATGTTATATTTTTGCTTGCTATTATGATGATTTGTTTTGGAAATGTGGAAATGCTCCACTTTTTGCTACAAAATGAGTTAGCCATATGGATTATCCGCATTTTCAAGTAGACAAATTAATGCACATGTTTTGTAGAAGCATGAGGCATATAAAGAAGTAACAAAAAAAAATCAAAATTCTATTTTTTAAAAAATATTCTTAATTTGGAATCACATGCTTTTAATATGACATACTTTGGAAATATGACATACCTTGAAATAACATACTTTTTTTTGTGATAATTTTTTTTCTTCTCCTTTTTTCTATAAACCATTCTAGAGAAAGAGAGTTTAATGCATTTATCTTCACAATTGAATATTTTACTCATTAATAATAAATGTGATAGTAAATATTACTTTTAATATATTATTAATTAACATAGATCCATTTGACATACAATTAAAATAATAAAGATGATTTAAATAAATAATTTAAATTATATAAATAAAACTAATAGAAAATTATATGCAAGGTCTTACTAATACTAATATCACATATATTAGTTAAGATGAAGGTTTAAAAAATCGGTGACCGGATCCGGAATTGGCTATCCGGATTGGGAATCGCCCGAGACTTTTCGGATTAGGCCAAAAAAGGGGATTCAGGTGCTTCCAAATAGTAGAATCGCCGATTTTTTCGTGGAACCGCCGATTCCGACGATTCTTCCCCTAGTCCGACTAATTCTTCATCGATTCCGACTGATTCTTCACCGAGTCAAACAAAAAAAAAAGGATGAACAATATTTTTTTAATTATTTTTAAAAAAAATTTGAAACAAAAATTACCGATTCCGTTGATTCTTCCATCTGATCCACTTATTCCCCCGATCGGATATAGGTACGGTGTGACTGATTCGAGCCACCGATCCGTTCTTTTTAAACCTTGGTTATCCTATTAATATGTATATCTAATTTATTAGTCCATTAAGGCATACTCAAGAAGCATTAACTTTATTATAAACAAAAGAATGATAAATTTTTTTATATATTAATCAATACCTAATTTCAAAAATAAGAGGGGAGTGAGATTTAAGGAAACAAGATTTGCCAGAGATAAGGAAAGAGTGAGTGAGGGATAGATTTGGGGGTGAGAAGTGAGATTAACACATATTTCTTTTCTTAATCCACATATTTCCCATTAATTTTATTGTTATGCACTCCTCTAAAGTAGAGTTTATAATTGTATCAATGACTATGTCGTGTTCTGTGTATTGATTTTACTGCCAGATATTGTGACTTTTGGCGGTAATAGTCGGTTATTTATTCCCCAATTCTGAATTTTTGTAATCTGATTTCATGTCTTGAAGTGCCAAGAATTTCTTTGGACTTGATTATTTGATCAAAGCTACGAGTGTTCATGGGTCTCCTTTCCATGATTTTCCGGATTTTCCCTCTTTGGTCGTTTTTTTTCTTCAGTTATGATCTTTGTTCGACACTGCATTCCAATGTGTCCATGGGATGAAACTGTATTGCAGTACATCGATAGATATTCATAGATGATTTCTTGATGGAAAGATCCCTGATTTCCAGCATTGATTTCGACAGCAGTGGGCAGGACCGAGCTTAGATCCACCACCAGTACTCGAGCATAGTCCCTTGGTCAGGACTGAGCTTAGATCCACCACCAGTACTCGAGCATAGTCCTTTGGTCAGGACTGAGCTTAGATCCACCACCAGTACTCGAGCATAGTCCCTTGGTCTGCGCTCTCTTGTTGGTTTATCCACATTGATGGGATATCCAATCGCTGCTGGATCAAATGTGCCTGAGATGTCAATTGTATACCCGTACTTTTGCAATCTAATCCAAATTGCGGTTTCTTTTTTTCTTTTGTCCTTTGTCTTGATTGGAAGTGCAAATGTAATGGCAAAGTGCAATGTCAATCCTTTCTATTGCCCATCTTATTACAGAAATTAATGGGAAAAATTATGTTATATTTTATTATTTTATGGGCAAGTCTTAATACTTGTTTTTATCTTTTCAATTTCAAAATTACTGCTGGTAGGTATCGATGGCTTCGGATGATGGATGTTCAAACCAATTCTAAGTAGACCACACCAGTTTGGATTGTTCCATCTTCCACTCTAAAAAACACAATGACTGAAAATGAATGTCCAAACCTCGCCACTTGCTAGTGTTTTTTTGGTGCGAAACACTAGTTCCAACTCTTTCACTCACAAAAAAGACAAATGGGTTCGGACATCCATGTTCGCGCGCACCCACTTGCCGTTCATTCTTTGATGTTGGAACTCAGCCCACACTATAAAAGGGTAAAAAGGAGTGAGTGCGTTTGGATGATCTGAACTCGTCTCACTCGACCTACAGTTCCGAAAAGTAGATAAGTGGTTCACACACTCCACAAACTCAATAGAGCTTTATTTCTACCATTTTCAAGAGTCTCTCTAATTAAATTATCTAGTCAAATACAATAGAGGGTATGAACCTCTGAGTTAATTCGAGTGTTTTTAGTAAACACTCATGACAAGCTGATGTTAAAAACTTTACATTTCCTAGATGACACCCCTTTCTTTTTCTTCTATATTTTGTCAAATGCCTTTACTTTCAAGATCCAAAGTGAGAATATAGCTTCTAAAAAACTAAATTACGGTGACGATTTCGGATCTTCAAGATTTGAAACCATTTACTTGACCTAAAATATTCAAAGTAGAAAAATATTTCTTCTTTTAATATTGGGGCTCAGTCTTTAGTGTCTCTCATGCTGAAAGTGAGGAGATTGGGGTTGGAAAACATAATGCCGCAAGCGAGCTCTAAAAAAAAAAAAAAAAAAAAAAAAAACCTGAAAATGCACAATATTTAAAATTCCTCCAACTCCCCAAGCCGAGCCATAATGCTTTCTACAATATCATCAGGATTAGCCGTTGCGTCAACTTCAATCACTCTTTCACCCTCTCTAATTTGCAACAATGCCAACTGCGTCCCCAAGAGACTAGCAGGCATGAAATGGTCCCCTCTCTCCATTCTTTTCTTAAGCCTGGCCTCGATTACTCCTTCTGGGGCTTCCAAGCAAACAAATAAAACCCTACTTTTCGATGCCCCGCCTTCGAATTTCTTGCCGGAGAACTCCCCTGAATTTTGATTATCTGTTGTCATTTCAATCATGACATTATCGGTGGGATGGTAGTTTGGATCTGCAGATCGCAAAATCTCTCTATAGTCGTGTTTTAGGGCAGAGCAACAGAGGACTACTGTCGTTCCTTTGGCCATGCTCTTCATAAGAGTTTCACGCAAAGAATGGAGCCATGGAATACGGTCTTGGTCTGTCAATGGAATGCCATTTCTCATCTTTCCTGTCTCATAAGAACAGCAGAAAAAACACATTAGGAGAAATACAGTAGGGGAAGTATGCTACGACGCATAATATAATAGAAAATCTATAGTCAATTTGTGTGATCAATGTCCATCTATTGATCGGATAGCGATTAACAATTACGATCATAGATTTATTCTGTGATAGTATGATATATGTCAAATATTCTTTTCTGATATTGTCTCTGCTCACTAGGTCAGAATGGGTGACGGGGAGTCTCCTTTTTTCGTAGATAATATGATGGGAAAATGACAATTCCCATCGTTTAACCTCTGTCAGCCAATATTTAGTTGAATGGCAGATGCTACCTCAGAGTGATGTGCATGTGCTCCCCAGGGAGCATGATATTTGCCCTGCAACTTTCATTAGCAAGTTACACTTTTTCAGACCAAACTCACCCCGTCAAGAGTACAAAATGTACTATTTACATTAGGAAATTTACTTTTGGTACAAGGTGGTCGCAATTGATCTTGACAATTGGATGGATATATTTATTTCATTGACCAAGATTAAACTTCAAAAGAAATTTTCTCGAACTTTAAGCTATCAGATTTCATATCGGATGATTGCAAGTAATTGTAACCTCTTTATATCAAAGATAAATGGTCTCACAGTATACAATCCCCGTTACATTAACGAAAAAGAGTTTCTCTTCCCAAGTGAGTGAGAGAGAGACAATAACAAGAAAAGGTTTACTTACTAGAATGAAACGGAGTACACAGACAAAAGGAGATTAGAAAAAACACGAAAGAAAGAATATTATTTCACACTTTACCCAATTGTTTTTATTTAATTTCAAAATACCCGTCAAAATAGCCATGGTTTTGAGTTGGAACAGTAGAAAATTCGTAAAAATGTTAAATACTTGAAAAATGAATTTTGATAAATGTCCTTTTTTAATTTTTCGTAGGTCAACAGTGGGATTCGAACCTGGTCATAGTGTAACATTACCTTTATTTTCTTTTGAATGAAAATCATCAGCATCAATGAAACTACACTGCAGTGCCTCTGCAAGCTTTGCACCAATTGTCCTGTTTATGCAACAACCACTATATTCATAAAAATATCTATGTACTTGGGCTGGAAGTGAAAAGATAGAAAGATCTGCAGACCAAATTTGAAGTGTACTAATTCTACATATATCGAACAACAGTTAAGGGTAGGTCAGGTGTAGCTTAATTAGAATATAACTGAGGATTTTAAATATGTTAAGCTACAGTTAAGAATAGATCAGGTGCCAGACAACTAGAGCATGAACCTGTTGCAAGAGGCCTTAGGTTAGTATTAAGGTTTGGACTTTTGTAAAATAAGAGTTTACAGTAATGATCTAGTCCTTAAATATCTTGCATTCTATAAATCCTTTTTTGACTATCATTTCAGATCAGTATTCTCTAGAATCACTCTCTCAAATCCAAGAGATGGATCCTCTATGGCATTTCCAGTAGTTATGGAGAGAACAATGCCCATGAGAAGGACGCCATTAAACACAAAAGCATAAATTGAAAGAAGAAAAACACATTATCATATTTAGGGAAAATTAAGGTTAGCAATTCAGATCAAATCAAAAAGGCCTTATGTCAGCGAAAAAAATACACAAAATAAGGGGAAAGAGGGCTTACGTTTTTCCAGAACCCGAAACTCCCATCATTACAATTGCTGCTCCTGATGAGAAACCCAAATATTTTAGACTGGAAGAGAGGCAAATTTTCCTTCTCTAATAGCTAATATCTAAATTTAACTGAAAAATGACTATGATCCGACTTCAGAAAAAAAATGAGGCCCTATTGGCTTACATCTGGCCAGGAATTCACCGAACATAAACATATTGAAAAAGTATATCCCGTGAAATTTTCTCAACCATACAGATTCAAATTTCAACGGTTCAGAGAAGAGATTATTCTCAACCAAAACAACTATGATCACTACAGATTCAAATTTCGACAGTTTCGAGAAAAGATTGTTAGTAAAAAGAAATTGGCAGTGACCGATCCGTAGATTGCCGTATTTAATCCCTGTGAAATTGAAATGCCGAAAAAGAACAAGAAACCCCTGTAAAATAGAAGAAAAAGAAATAGGGAGTGAAACGTGATTGCCTTTGAGAAGAGAATCCATTGGAGCAAACTGTTTATGAAACTACGACCACCAGAATGCAAATATGCGGTCGCTCTCCTTACGGGACTGGTTTTAAAATTGGCGAAATGACAAAAATTGATCAAACATATGCTCGTATGACAAAATCACTCCAAAGTCTATAAATAGAAAATGTATATAATGAGAGGATTTATTTTTTATACAACGAGCTCACAATTATCTTCACGGTTAGATTTGAAATCGAGTAATTGAGGATGTAAGGTACAAAATCCAAATCAAAATTTTTTAACTGTTGTGGCCATTGTTCGTAAAATCGTCCAATCTAACCTCTAACCACCCGGTTATGTCGGAATCGGTGAGTGGCCGGTTCCGATTTTGGACGGTTAGGGTGATCAACCAGTATTTAAAAAAAAAAAAATTTCAAAAAACAAGTACATAATTTCTCAAAAATAAAAAATTTGATTTATAATATATTTATAATATTATTTATATTATAGTAAAGATTAAAAATCATTTTAGTCATTAATACTCACGTTTATATTTTCCTATCTTTTCTAAAAAAAATTTAAAATAGCCATTGAAAAATATAAAATGGGTTAAAATCCATTTTTTTCATTAATTTTCAACTTCATTTGAATGTGTTTTGTTTTAATCATTCTTTATATGGTTTTCATATTTTTTTTATTTTTTTTAACACTTTTTTGATCGCTGGGGACTTGCCTAATTAAAACGGTTAAATTGGCTGGTTTACCGGTTAGGCCGATTAAACCACTTCCAGACCCATCTCTGCTTAACCGTTCCGGTTCGATTTTGCAAACATTGGTTGTGGCACATTTTCATCCATTAGATTTTACATCCAATAGTTAAAAGTGATTGTAACATCCTTGTACAAAAAATAAATAGTCTTATAATATACAAGGGCAAGCTTTCTATAATTCCCCCGCAGCATAGAAGTTCTATCCTCCCCCTTATCCAACCGTCCATTCTAAATGGAGGGCTAAGATTGTCCCAATCACAATGTCACCACTCTACACTATTTTATTTTTAATTTTTTTTTATATAAACTATTTTGACACCAAATTTTGGACATCCATTCCTCTATTAAACTTTCACTAGCAAAAAAATAAAAATAAAAATATTTTCAATAAAATAAAATGACCAAAATACCTCTAAAAGTTTGGGTATTTTGGTTATTATATTTTATCAAAAAATTATTTTTAATAGGCACCCCAATGATCCCTAATGAAAAAATAACACGCATCAAATTTCATATTCATATAATTTGTATTAAAAAAACTAAAAATAAAATACTTTAAGATGTCGGATCTACAATCAAACGGTTAGTGGCTCTCTTGATCAAAATGGCACGGCTGAATGCTGAAGAGAAGATAGAAGTTCTATATTGTATGGGAAGCATAGAAACCTTTCCCAATATACAATCCCATATACATAAGACCTACACTATCATTAAAGGATTAAATTATCCCTGCAACATTTGACGGCTTAGGAAGGTGTGAGTTGCTGCATAAACAGAACGATGCTTTCATTGTATACGCTCCCAAACAGAACGATGCTTTCATGGTATACGCCCTCATTTGATACAAGTCGGTAAATGGCACCATCCTCCTAAGAGATAGCACTTTTACTGTTATTTAATTTTTAATTCATTTAGTGAAATTCTTATATCAAATACATATTTATGGGATTGTGTACCATACGATTACTTACCTTTGATATCAGGTCATGTTCATCCATGACCATGAAATGTAAAATCAGACAGTTTACAGCGTGTTACAGTTGTAATAATTTCCTCCTAAATTTTGAGCCCAGTCAATTGTAAAACTCTAGCCGAGAAAATTCGCATCTAACAGTTAAGAGAGATTTTAGCCTCCTTGACCTGAAAGTAAATGGTATTATAGTATAATTTTCCTAAAGTTTTTTTGGCCAAATGAAAAACTTAAAATTTCTCATTTCTTGAGAGAGGGAAAAGAAATGCACATAATGCAGATCCACAGGAGCAAATTGTACAATTGTTAGTGGAGGACAAAAAAGACCTACATAAAAAGATTACCTTGTTCTAAAATGTTTGATTCAGTTTAAAATCACCAGAGTAACTAAAAAACACCGTTCTCATACACAACTAGATCTAACAATCCGGTTTGTGCTCAATCCTAATCCATGAGTTTTCTTAGGCACTTCTAGAGAAAATATTGGATCTGATTAGAATCAATAGAATTATTTTTTTTTAAAAAAGCCATGACTTTGCATACAACTAGATCTGAACCTCCAAATTAGACAGTTTGTGTTCAATTCGAAGGCATGATTTTTCTTGGGCACTTATAGTGTATGTAAATTGTAAGATCTCATCTTGTTCTTAAGTTGATCCCTAGGTTGAATTGACCACATACCCAAAAGTTGGGGTCCTAAAATGAACTTAATTAGTGTTTAAAGTTTTTACCTGATAGCAAATGTACAATTTGCTCCCACAGGAGCACAAAATATTTTCGAAAACTATATTTACAGTTTTCCATCATGGAACACTACTAAATCTTTATCTAAGGAAAGTTTGATCATACTAAGCAGCCCTTGAAGCCTTTTCTCAAGAAAGTTTCATCCAAATTCCTTCCTATGAAAACCAGCTTATTGATCCTTTTCTCGTCAGGTCCCCAAGGTTTGGATGGAACGCCATCTAACATGGAATGCACACCCTGCAAAATAATTCCATGATATGATGAGTCAACAACAGAAGTCTCTCTCTCTCTCTCTCTCTCTCTCTTTATAGTATAGTAACGTAACTAACTAAAAAGTAAAAAAAAACTAAACTACGTCTCTTACTACTACTTATTAATAACTAACTAACTAACTAACGTAAG